AAATACTGATAACAAGGATAACATCAATATTAATGAATAACTAGATCATATATAACATCATGATCAAAATAAATACATACATTTACAGTTAATCACATTGAGTCTAAAAAGGAGAGAGTTTTAGCTACTCATTGTCATGGTAGCTTTGCTCAAATGAGAAGAAAAATGATGAATTTGCATCAACATTAATTTCTCGAACGATTGTTGCGTATCCACCTTGAATTCATCTTTTCATGGATTTTCTCATTTTTTCTATCTCTAGAAAAAGTAGTCCTTCTATTTCGTTTCTGAAGTGTATTTATACTAGTCATAAAAAAATAAGTTTGCTTAACGACAAATGGCTTACTTAGCGGGCTGGCATTTCTTCATCAGGAAGTTTTAGCGACATCAGCTTAGACCACATTGTCTCTCTTAGCGAGTGTTGGCTCGCTTAGTGAGTTATCTTACTTTGACATCGATATGCTACGCTAAGCGAGACTGTTGATTTGGGGGATCTTGCGCATTCTGTTTAGCATTACCTTGAGCTTTCTTTGGCCTTGCTAAGCGAGGATGTTTGTTTTCAAAAAAAAAAATTAAGTTTTTGTTTGCACTTGCTCTAACTTCGCCACGATCTCGCTTTGAGGCTCGCTTTGTCATTTCTTTGAGCTTGCTAATAAGGGTGTTGAAACTCAACTCTTTATATATATATATATATATATATATATATATATATATATATATATATATATATATATATATATATATATATATATATATATATATATATATATATATATATATATATATATATATATATATATATATATATATATATATATATATATATATATATATATATATATATATATACACACACACACACACACACACACACGCACACACACACACACACACACACACACACACACATACACACACCATTTTTTTTTTACATTTATCAACTCTCTCCAACTTAGAATTTTGTTTGTCCTCAAACAAATGTCTTAGAAAAATATTTTAATGCAAGAATAAACTCTCAAACTTTTTCGTGAATCAATCATTTTGATATAAGAGATTAGAATGCATGATTCAATTGTAAATTGCCCAGGAAAGTTTTATGTCTATCATTGATCTGTAATCAAACCATGGATATGAAATAAGTTTCAAATACCAAATACATCTCATACATGTCAAGTCAATAAAATAGTTAATATTGAATCACACCTAACACACTTCTTTGTAAGTAGATAATGAACTAAAAACAATATGTGGGGACTTGAACTCACATTCGACAATCTTGCTAACATCTTGATTAAGTTATGCATTCATCCAAGCATATTATTTTGAAATTATTAAAGCATAGATCACTAATGTCTTCTAAAGGTTGTAATGTGGCCCGATCACAAAAGAAATGTCATATATATGGGAAATTAAATCAAAGTGACAAACGTCTAGAGGAGCATTCATAGATTTTGATATTTACAACACAATACTTATTTAAACGCATCTCTTCTTTTGATTTTTACACATCCTCAATGATAAACATTTGACGCCAGATTCCTAGCAGTGGCGAAGTACCCTTAATGGGTTGCCAATATAGTGCATGTGCCTAAGAAGGATGACAAAGTTAGAATGTATGTTGACTATAGGGATTTAAACAAGGTTACTCCGAATGACGAACTCCTTCTGCCACACATTAATATTTTGGTAGTCAACACAACTAAATATTTTGTCTTCTTCTTCATGGATGGTTTCTCTAGCTACAATCAGATCAAGATGGATCTGAAGGATATGTAAAAGATGATGTTCATTACCTCTTAGGGAATGTTTTGCTAAAAAGTCACGCTCTTTGGTCTTAAGAATGCATGGGTAACTTGCCAAAGAGCGATAGTTACCCTCTTTCATGACATGATACATAAAGAGATTCAAGTTTATATCGACGACATGATTTCCAAATCTCAAAGGGAAGAGGGCCATATAAACCACTTGTAAAATTTGTTTGAGCGCCTTAGGAAATTCCGACTATGATTGAACCTTGCTAAATGCACATTTGGTGTTTGGTCAGGGAGATTTCTTGGCTTCATCTTTAGTCAACGAGAAATTGAGGTAGAACCAAACATGCTTAGAGTTATACAAGAATTTCCTGCTCTACGTACCAAAAGAGAAGTCAGAGGGTTCCTTGGAAGATTGAATTATATCTCTAAGTTTATCTCTCATATGACTGTTACGTGTGAGCCCATCTTAAAGTTACTTCGAAAAGTTCGAGCAATTGAATGGAATGGTGACTGTCAGAAAGCCTTTAAGAAGACCAGGCACTACTTTCAAGAGCCTCTTATCCTGATCCCACCTGATTGTAAAACCAGATATTCACTTTTAGAGAAAACTTGCTATGTTTTAGCATGGGTCGCTCGTCGTCTATGGCAATACATGATTTGTCATACTACTTTGTTGATTTTCAAATGGATCCAATAAAGTACATCTTCGAGAAGTCTGCCTTAACTGGAAGAATTGTCCGTTGGTAGATGCTATTGTCTGAGTACGACATTGAACACGTCACCTAGACGACTATCATAGGTAGCATGTTGTTTGAATACCTGGCACATCAACCGATCAAAGACTATCAATCAATGAGGTTTGATTTCCTAGACGAAGACATTATGGCTTTGAATAAATTGAAATTCATAGGTGATGATAAAGGTCCCGAACCAAGAGCTCGATGGAAGCTCGCATTCGATGGTGCATTTAATTCCCCAGGCTATGATGTTGGAGTTATTCTGATATCCCCAAGAGGTGGCTATACTCCTTTTATAGCAAGACTATGCTTTGATTGTACAAATAATATAGGAGAGTACGAGGCATGTATTTTGGGAATTGAAGCTCATATTGACCTCTGAATTAAAATCCTCGAGGTATATGGAGGTCCGGGCTTGGTAATTTATCATGTGAAAGGAGAATTGAAAACTAGTCATCCCAATTTGATCCCATGTCGCGCTTATGTCATAGAATTGATGGAGTACTTTGATGAAATTACTTCCCATCATATTCCGAGGGAGGAAAACCAAGTGGCAAACACTTTGGCTACATTTTCTTTAATGTATCAAGTCAGGTTCCACAACGAAGCTCCATTCATCTGAATGGATCGAAAAGATGAGCCACCACACTGTCAATCAGTTGAAGAAGAAATCGATGGTAAACCATGGTTTCATGATATCAAATGCTATCTACAAAAGAAGGAATATCCAGAGAATGCTTCGACCATGGATAAGAAAACTTTGAGAAAATTATTATCCAAATTCTTCCTGAGTAATAATGTGCTCTACAAGAAAAACCATGACATGGTTCTGCTCAGATGTGTGGATAGACACGAAGGTGATATGTTGGTATGAGAAATCCATGAAGGGTCCTTCAGAACCCATGCTAATGGGCATGCCATGCGAAGAAGATTCTGAGAGCTGGTTATTAATGGTTGACAATGGAATCTAAGTTTTTCACTTATGCTAAGAAGTGTCATAAATGCCAAATTTAAGTTGACAAAGTGCATGTGCCGCCTATGCCACTAAATTTCTTGACATGTCCCTGGCCATTTTTAATGCGGGGCATTGACATGATTGGTCTCATAGAGCCTAAAGCTTCCAATGGACATCGCTTCATCTTGGTCGACATCGATAACTTCACCAAATGGGTAGAATTCGCTTCTTACACCAACATAACAAAGCAAGTGATCGCCCGATTTATCAAGGAGATAATATCTCGCTATGGAGTTCCTAGCAAGATAATCACTGATAATGGTACGAACCTAAACAACAAAATGATAAAAAAGTTATACGAGAACTTTAAAATTGAGTAGTATAACTCTTTTCCATATTGTCCAAAGATTAATAGCGCTGTTCAAGAAGCCGATAAGGATGGTAAAAACCTATAAGGATTGACATGAAATGCTACCATTTACACTGAATGGATAACGGGCGTCAGTTCCCACTTCAACAGGAGCAACCCCATTCTCCTTAGTATATGGGATGAAAGTAGTACTCCCAATCGATGTAGAGATTCCCTTGATGAGAATCCCTGTGGAGACCAAATTAAAGGAAGTTGAGTGGATCCATAATAGATTTGACCAACCGAATCTTATCGACGAGAAGCGTATGACCGCTCTGTGCCACGAGAAGCTCTACCAAAAGCGGCTCAAAAGAACATTTGATAAGAAAATCCGAACTCAATAGTGCATTTGACATGAAAGTCTATAATTCAAAAATTTTTTTCACTTAAAATTGTATTTTTAATACTGTTCATCTTATTGTATTAATTAAAAAACTTTTTATACCAGACAAAACCAACATTTATCTAATATAATATTACTTATATATTTCATCTAAATCTCACGCATCACGTGAACTTTAATCTAGTGTTTAATTAAAATATATTCTCTTAACTTTTCTTTTCTTTATTAAAATTTCTCCCATCTTTTCTGTTAACCAAATAAATCCTAAAAGTGCAATAAGCAAAGATACGGCTGACTTAGTGATGGCTAGGGTGGGAAGTTAAGAAACATAGTTATGAGGAACTTGGTTTGAACCTCACCATGATGCAAATAAAACAAACTATTATGCAATAAAAGAATAAAAACATTAGAGATAGTGAGGAAATGATAAAAATATAGTTGGCGGAAAGAAGTTGAGGAGGATCCAATTCCGTACACTCAAAGTTCATTTAATAATTAACTAATTAACTCAACAAAGTTGTATTAAATTATATATTTCTTGTTATTCATAAATTTAATTGATTGACTAAACTAAACTATTTTATTCATAAATCTAAAAAAAAAAAAAATCCATCCAAATTTGAAAACTTCAATGTAAAATTCTTTGATTTGAATATACTAACAATAAGATTCATTGGCGTTTCAAAATTTTCAACTTCGTTGACTAGTCCAATTCTCTCTGTTCAGACTCCTAGATCAACAAGAGAACAATCAAAAGAAAAAGACACAAACAAACTTCAAACTATTTCTGCTCCTATCTGAAATGCTTCTGCTCCTCTTTCTGTTCTTATGGCTTACCTCAATAACTTCAACATCATCACTATCTCCAACTTACAATGATATTTACTGTCCAAACAACACAACCTTCGAATCCAACAACAACACAATACTCAAAAGAAATCTCAATGTCCTACTCTCCTCTCTCGTCACCAACGCCACGCTAGGCGGCGCTGATTTCTACTCCACCTTCATGGGATTGGGAACAACAAACGTTGTCAACGGTGTTTTCCTCTGCCGCGGTGACGTTAACTCCACCACGTGTCAGAATTGTGTAACCACAGCAGCCACAGATATAACACGCCTCTGTCCTAACAAAACGGAGTCAATTATTTGGTTTGATGAATGCATGCTGCGTTACACTAACCGTTATTTTAGCCCCACCAGTATCGTCCCAAGAGCGAATTTGAAGAATGAAAGGAACATCACTACCTCGAAATTGGATACCTTTAATGGAATGTTGTTGAGTTTCTTGGATAGGTTGGCTAGAGAAGCTGCAAATTCTCAGACAGCGAAGCAATTCGCGACCGGAGAAGATAACTTCAACTTAAGCATAAGCAGTTCTTCGGTTTATGGATTGGCGCAGTGTGTGCCCGGAATGACGAATGTTCAGTGTGAGGAGTGTTTAGTAAACGCGTCGAGAACTCTTTTGACATGTTGTGAAGGAAAACAAGGTGCTAGAGCTCTTCTAGCATGGTGTAATATCAGATATGATTTCTACAAGTTTTACAATGCAACCGATGATTCATCTTCGCTTCCTCCTCCTTCTTCTGGTAAGAGGACTCATCGGTTCAATCTCTAGTACAATTTTTCAAAGATTGCATTCAACTAATAAAAATAATTATTGTCTATGCAGGAAAGAACAAGTCCGGGTCAAAAACAAGAACGGTCTTGATTGTTGTTCTTGTTACCGGGTCAACAATTCTGTTATGTTTAGGCTGCTATTTCCTCATCAGAAGATCAGCATGGGAGAAATATAAAACCCTTTTGAAAGAAAATTGTAAGTAAAAAAAGGCGACTTTGATTTCTTAAAAGCTTTACTGCATAAGACATCCAGTTCGCTTATGTTTAAGATTCATGTATACTTATTCTTCCAGTTGGTGATGAAAGTGCCGCGTTACAGTCATTACAGTATAGTTTAACGACCATTGAAGCAGCCACAAAGAAATTTTCATCAGAGAATAAAATAGGCAGGGGAGGATTTGGAGAGGTTTACAAGGTAATAAATCATAAGCAAAACTGATAGTATAGTGCATTAGTGCTTTTATTTTCTCTAAGTTAATCGATAGGTTACGATTTCAGGGTATTCTTGTAGATGGAAGGCAAATAGCAGTGAAAAAGCTATCTCAGAGTTCAGGACAAGGTGGAGTAGAGTTCATAAATGAGGTTTTACTAATAGCGAAACTTCAACATAGAAATTTGGTAACCTTAATAGGTTTTTGTTTGGAAGACCAAGAGAAAATGCTCATTTACGAATACGTGCCCAACAAAAGTCTCGATTACTTTTTATTCGGTAACTAACTTGTCTGTATGTGTTGATTTTGGTAGAATAATGTTCGATATTTTTCTCTAATGAACGTTTAATGATGTATTGGTAGATCGCCACAAGGCTAGATTATTACACTGGTTTGAACGTTATAAGATCATCGAAGGAATTGCGCATGGAATACATTATCTACACAACCATTCAAGATTGAAGATTATTCATCGTGATCTCAAACCTAGTAATGTATTGTTAGATGATAATATGAATCCTAAAATATCTGATTTCGGTATGGCAAGAATGGTGGCGCTAGATCAAGATCGGGGAAGTACAAATAGAATTGTTGGAACATAGTAAGTATGTGGACTAGATATGCATTCGACAACCAGAACTATATGGTTTAATTTTTATTAATTTAGTCAATGTTTTGTTATTATAGTGGCTATATGTCTCAAGAATATGCAATGCATGGACAATTTTCAGAAAAATCAGACGTCTTCAGTTTTGGAGTCATAATTTTGGAGATGATTAGTTCAAAAAAGAACGCCCGTTCTCTTTTATCAGATAACACCGATGACCTCTTGAGTTATGTGAGTATTTTATTTTACTAATTAATTGATCAAAAGAAGCATAAAGAGGATGATAATTCTAATATCTACTTAAACAAATTGTTGCAGGCATGGAAACAATGGAGGGATCAAACACCATTAGAACTAGTAGACCAAGATATAAAAGAATCATGCAACCATAATGAAGTGGTTAAGTGTATTGGAATTGGTTTATTATGTGTTCAAGAGAAACCTGATGATAGACCTACAATGGCAACAGTTGTTTCGTATCTCACTAGCCCTTCGGCGGAGTTGCCATTTCCAAGAGAGCCGATAGAGTCTGTGCACAGTGGAATACTGCAAAATGTAGTAACAGGGGGGTTGAGTTCGACTTCTATATCGACATTCAATGAAATAACTTCATCAGTAAGTTCTGCATTCTCTGCCAGTGCTTAGAAGTTAGAATTCATGTAATATGTTACTTCCAAATTTTGTGCTGTATATTGCATATATCATGTTTTCTACATGTTTGAATTGAATCACACTAATTTTTAAATGTCGATAATTCAAGTTACCTTGAAACCGACGCAGTTAACAGAAAGTTTGTATTTAGTGCACTCTTTCTTATCAAAGTTCAGACTTCAGAGAATGGTGACAAATGCACTTACAAATTTTCCACCAGCGAGATCCTTACATTGGTAGCAGAATTTGAGAATATATATTTAGCAATATAGCAGTAATGATGGACTCACAGTTTACATCTTGGATAATCTTCTTAGCATTTGTCACATTCAGAAAACATCTGTTTGAAAAGTGTTTCAATCGCGACAATCTGGACGTTGCATTCGCAATGTCTCGATTAGTTAAGTTATAACACACCCAAACAAATCCAAGAGCTCGAGGTTAGGACACCCCTGACATATTGATTTGAGTCCTTTAGATGATAGTCCTAAGAAACTAATCTCTAACCACTCTAGATGAGGCATAGAATTAGCAATGGCAGCAGCTTCAGAATCGGCTTCTTGCATGCAAGCAATTAGAAAATCCGCGAAAACAATCTCATTATCTTGGGATGGAGATGGACCAAACCGATTCATAATATTTCTCATATTTCTCTTCAGAAACTTGAGGCTGAAGCAATTTCTTCCAATCAGCACAAATGACTCATGGGTTATATCATTGCAATTGCTTATGAAACTTGGACATCCAAAAGAAATCTTAGATACAATCATCACTAACATTGCAATATCTGATTGACAACACCTTAAGATTTGGACATCTGAAATGCAGTTGAATCATCATGAGATTAAAATTATCACTACAAATGTTTTTAAGAAAAATTATTATTTATTAAAGTATATTAAAACTAGATAAAACTCTTGCATTATTAGTAACATATTATTAGTAACATTAAGAATTTAAACGAGGTATATATACATATATAAAATAAAATATTCATTCTACTCTATTATATTTCCTTCTGTTCTGATCGATCAATCGTTCAATCAATCTAAAAATAGATAGTTTAAAGTTATGTTTAGATTGATGGAACATAACGGAACGGAGCATAGTAGAATAAAATAGAATATAAATCTCACTCTATTGTTTGGTTATTTTATTAAAAATATCTCATTCCATCCCATACACCTCAAATTAGATGGAACAAAAAATAAGGAATTGGATGGAATGGACTCCATCATGTTCCATTCCATTCTATCAATTATTTGCAAATGCAAACAATTGAAACACATTAGTGACCACTCCATTTTATTCCATTTCATCACATACCACCAATCCAAACACACCCTTAAGAAATGATAAATAATAAGATTTCATTGTTTGAATTTACAAATGATGGATGGAGGAGAACAAAGGAATCCATTCCATCCTATTCCATCAAATCCTTCAATTTTCATTCCATCTAATTTAGGGTGTGTATGAAATGGAATGAAGCAATTTGTTATGTTTTGTTTCGTCAAATTATAACAAATACACCGATAATAGAATGGAATCTCGATTCCATTACACTCTACTCTACTTCATTCCATCATTGTTCATTCCGTTCTGTTCAGTTCTAGTTCATCTTTCCTCGGACAAAATTGGACCGTCACTTTATCTGTTTCTTTAAACGTATTTGTTTAAACACTTTCTACCTTTCCGTTTCTGTAGTTTTCCTCACGGAACAACTAAGAACCTAGTTTTTCTTCTCTCTTACAGCTTTACTCAACAACCTCATATCTTTTAATGACGCTTCTAATACAATGTCATGCGAGCTTTGCATTCGAGATTGATCTTTCTATCATCATGGATGATCGTGCCTACGTACCGGAGCCTCCCTTGGAAATGGATCGCAAAACAATCTGGCATCGTGCCGCCTTCATCTCCTACGTGCTTGTTGGTAAATGCATGCATCTATGGTCCCTTTGCCAAAATGCATCAAGAAACCCCAACTGCTACAAGATTATTTCCCTATATATCGTGGGTATGAATCGTTGGTGTTCATTGATGAACCTTTGAAATTTAACCTCTTCAAGAGCTGAGTCTTATGGTTTTTTCTGTCACTTGAGGATGTTGAGTACATTAAGTGGTTGGATAGGGTTGAGAGGAAGAGCTCACACTACTGGAAAGATTTAGGGATATTATTATTTAATTCAGCTATCCAGGGTGAGTTTCTCTTACAATCCTCACATGCTAATCGCTTCCATGTGTTTCTGAGATGCTTCCACCAACACCTTTAAGCTACCCTATAGGATGATAACTCTCACTTTCTTCGATCTAGTTGCAATAGCTGGTCTTCGTCCAATTGGGATGAACTTTGATCCCACAAGGGCTACTAGAATTGAGCCTACCCTCTTCTTCTCTTGACCAACTTATAACTCTTTTATAAAGGATCATCGACGGGCAACCCCTAATATTTTCGCACACGAACGTATCACATCCTCGCTTACTGGTTATCGAGGTATGTGTTATGCTCTTGGTCTGCTCAGGTGGCTTAAAAATGAGTGCCCCTTACTATCCAACTCTATGAAGGTAGGAAAATATATACGAGTGAGCTGATTCTCATGGGGCTTTACGAGTCTCTAGCTTTGGTTGTCACTACTACAAAAATCACTTTTTTTTTACCTCGAATGTGAAATGCATAATATCCCGGCTAAAGAAACGAGGTAACGAAGGGCGACATAAAAACTTGTCACTTATCACCTCAGTGGAATTAAAACTGAGAGGTAAAGTTATATGCACATGGGTTTGAACCCCGACTACAACACTTTTATTATTTTCAAAACTAGCATATCTTATATCTCGGTTTATCTTGAAAACCGAGGAGTCAGATTATTTTTTTTTTTTTATAAAAAAATTGTTACATTATTTACCCAGAATATTACATTGTTTACTTAGAATATTACATTGTTTACATAAATATTACATTGTTTAAAACAAAAATCAAATTTCCTAGAGATCTAGGTAAAAATCAAATTCCCTGAAGATCTAGATTTTAGATCTTCGAGTTATTGAATCTTGGGGAAAATCAAATGTTAGGTGCAAGATTATTCTCTATGGATCTTGCATGCATTTGTTTCTAAAGCAAAACAAAATAAGGGTGAGATAAATAAAATAAATATTCAAATATACACTACGCCAAAATTGATTTTTTGTATCGCCTACTTTAATAGCGCTTTTGAAATAAGCGCTATTAAAAAAGAAACAAACATATTTATAATAGCGCTTTATAGTAAAGCGCTATTAAAGAGTACAGAGAATATGATTTTAATAGCACTTTGTAAAAAAGCGCTATTATAGATATTCTCTAAGATAGCGCTTTTCTAAAAAGCGCTATTAAAATGTTGTATTACAATAGCACTTTTATAAAAGCGCTATTATTAAAAGCACTACGATAGCGCTTTTTAAAAATCACTATTAAAATATGTAACTACAATAGCGCTTTCTATGGAACCGCTATCGTTTCTATAATTGTGTTTTAAGATAGCGCTTTTTTAAAAAGCGCTATCGTAGTATTTCACTAAATTAAATTAATTAAAATATGAAAACCTTCACAGAAGCTCTAACACCAAATGAAACGCATAGCGGCGAACGTGAATCAGGTGAGAAGAAGAAAGAAAAAATCAAGATGAAACAAACAATATCATACACATATCAGCTCACAATCATTTCCGAACAGCACCATCAAAACGACGACGTGTATCCCCTTACAATCCGCTTTCGCATCCTTTCGTCCCAGCTCAATCAGGTTCAATTTTGACCTACTCTCAACTTGATCCAGTCTCTTTCTTCATCTATTCTGATTTTCTCGATTTGATTCAAGTTTCAAATTCATCCGTAAATCATGTTTTAAACTCAGATTTTTTCTCACTTTTTATCTCAATCTTCTTCATCTCAGTTTCTCAAAACTGCTTGTATTTTGGTTCGACTTAGAGAAGGGTGTTTTATGAATGGTGACAGAGGTTTGGTGACTTTTTTGGATTGAATATGAAGTGAGTTTGAAAGTGGTCAGAAGAAGGAAGAAACGCGGTGGTGTGAAAGAGCCGGGTAGAAGAAAAACTGAAGGTGCGATGGAAGCTGAGCTCCTTTCGTTTTCATTTTGGAGGTTGGGGTTTTAATGGAGGATTGAGGGATTTTCAAATGGGTTTTGAAGAAAAAACGGGTTCCCGTTTATGAAGAAGAAGGGTTGGGCTTGACCATTTTTGAGGGATCAAGAAGGTTTTGGGGTTGTGGTTTTTATTATGGATTGAAGAAGAATGATAAATGGGGTTTCAGAAGTTGATGTTGAAGAAGTTTTTTGAAGAAGGGTTTTTTTATTTAGCAGAATTGACGATTAAAGAGGAGGTGGGTTTTGCAGGTTATAATGGAGTGAATCGAGTTTCGAAGATGAAGGTATTTGTGAATGAAGAAGAGAAGGTTTATTCTGTGTTTCTGTTTTGTTATCGGTCCTTTGTTTGCAGGTGAGGTTTTCTTTTGAATTTTTTTCACAAAAGTTTGCTGTTGGAATCATGTATACTGATACGGTTTTTACGTGAGCTGGCGTAGGCGTACGGTTTTCTTGTAACATCAATGAAATGGTACAAGTTGAGGCTGCAAAATTGCTTTTTGGACATACTGGTTATTGCTGTGGGAATTCTACATAACCGTTTCGTATGAAATATTGTGGCGTGGTCTTTTTGATTCTATCGTTTTTTGTCCTGTACAGGAAATGGAATTTAGTTTATTGGTTTCTAAATTGTGATAAGCATGGTTTTTCTTGTGCATTATTGAGGTGGTTACGATAGCAGCCGAAGGTGAATCAGGTGTGGCTGCTACATAAGATATGAGCCGTGCGAGCAACTTGGCCTTGTGGCTTTATCTTGTACAAATTCTGTTTTGCTGTAGCTGAAAACTAATACAGAACCAGTGAAGCCGTTTGGGATAAATACAACTTTTTCTATATTCTTTTTTTTTTGAAT